AGGAGGGTTCGGGGAGCTCCTTCTGCGTACTCTCTACCTGGAAAAGCCTGTAAAGGGGGCACCCGAAGTCAGAATTGACTTGACAGCCCACAATTATGATTAATTAAAGACAGAATTATTTCAGAGTGGTCTTTCATGGATCAAGGTCCACTATTTAGGCTCACGGAGAGCAGATATTTGTCTATTTTTATACTTCCCCCCCCCCCACAAGGCCAGGCGAGGGTTCAAAAGATGGACAAAGTGGCAGGGCTTCGTTCACAGAGAAACCAGATAATGCCTTTGGAGGTTCTCCGCCTTCCAGGGCTGGCGAAGCAGCCGCCTCCGGCTGTGGGTTGCTTGGGTGGCAGCAGTGCGAGCCAGAGGATTTGGCTACACTCCTGTCCCTCGTCTATTTAGGATATTTTCGTAACACCCGACTGGCCTTGCCCTTTGCTGCTGCTTTGCAAAGACAGTTTGCTGTGCAAACCACATTTTGGACCGGAGCTGCCTTCAGTCTGCACCAGCCCCTGAACACCTTTTAAGGTCCCTTTTAAGTGTTCTTATTTTAAGACCTATCATATTTGCTAGATGCTCTCCCACCTTTTGTTTTGTTTTTTACAACCCCCCCCCCAAATAAACATGGGGAATACAGTGGTGCCTCACTAGACAGTTACCCTGCATGATAGTTTTTTCGCTAGACACTGACTTTTTGCGATCGCTATAGCGATTCGCAAAACAGTGATTCCTATGGGGGAATTTCGCTGGGCAGTTTTTGGTCCCTGCTTCGCAAACCAATTTTTGCTAGACAACGATTTTGACAGCTCCCTCTGCGCTCGCAAAACGGGCGTTTTCGGGACCTAAGACAGCTATTTAAACAGCTGATCGGCGGTTCACAAAGCCGCTTTCCTATGGCCGATCTTCGCTAGACAATGACGATTCTTCCCCATTGGAACGCATTAAACAGGTTTCAATGCATTCCAATAGGGAAATGCTTTTCGCTAGACAATGATTTCGCTAAACAGCGATTTCAGTGGAACAGATTATCATCATCTAGCGAGGCACCATTGTAAATCAGTAAAAGCCACATGGTGTCCCCTTGGGCAGGCAGGCAGGCTGTCAGAATGGGAGGCCCGGCTGTGCTCCCTTTTAGACTAATTGGTTTTTGACCCTGTTTGTCCCCTCCCTTCCCAACCCTCGTTAGTGGCGCTTTAAGGCTTTTACGAACTCTCTCTCTCCCTGCCCGCGATCCCCCCCCCCGCTCACTTTTCCATCCTTCTTTCCAGGCCAGAAGAAGGACCTCTGTGTACATCATTGGGAGAATACCTGAAGCAAAGGCTGGGGTTCCAAGCTGTAGGATCTGCTGCACTGCTTTGTGACAAGGCTGGTGGTTGGGAGGAGGATTGCTAT